GGAGGGGGGAGGGGGGCACTCATGCATTGTAGCTGTAGGTGTGTTCATGTACTGCAATGTGCTACATACCGCAAATGTTCAACCATTGACCGCGCATCGTCGATAATAAGGAGCATATTTCCGACAGCAGGAGCGGTCACCGATGGAACAGAGGACGGGCGGAATCTGGTCGGCGGTCGACGGTGGCCACCACAGTTCTCGTTATGTCGGGTGCTGGCAAAACAAAACACGCTGTCAAAACAAGCCGTGACGTCCGTCTTTGCGGAGGCCTCCCTCCGGCCGGTGCGACGCAAAAGCTGCAAGAAGAGGAACTATTACAGCAGTGGCATTACCTCGCCAAGAAAAGTACAACTCCATCGAGGGTTCCACTCTCTTGAATGGCACCTATACGGGCCAATCTATTACAGCCCGCCGGTCTATAGCTTCTACTTCAAAGAAAAGAAAAAAATAGCTCACGGAATAGTGACATTCTCACAAATTAATTTCACCCGACCACTGAACCAGGCATGTTTACTCCGATGATTCATTCCCACCTTGATGATGTTCTCCGCCTCCCCTATCCAATAGTCCCCCTCGAGGTATGGCAGCTGGCGTGCGTCCGCGGTTTCTGGGTTTGACCAGTACTCGTCGAAGAGGTTGGTCAATCCCTCCACGATGCCCCTCTTTTTCGCCTCCTCAAGCATCGTGACGTACCTGTCCACACGCAAGACGGGACAGGACAGGACAAGGTCAGGTCAACAACAAAAGAAGGGATGAAACACTACAAATTCGAGTGCGATGGTGCTGATGGTGCGAGTGATATTTTCGACACATTCGAGTGATGATCGCTGACGCATTCAAGCCGTGTTTTTCATTGACATTTGTTCTTTTTCATTTTCATGCTCTCGCAGCCGAGATGCGAAATAATGGTTACGACGCAAACCCCAAAGAAAAGGGAAAACGAGAAACAGTTCCACTAAAACAAATGCAATCCGGTGGCACAACCTAGGTAACTCCCAAGTGCCTCGGTTCTGCGCTCGGTGGCGAGTGTTCGTCAATCGGCTGAGGGGTTTCACGCTGTGTGCGGGTACTAAACCCCACAAAGCGAGAGGTCACACCGACAGTCCGTGAAAGCACAAACACCCATCATCCTTACACCCATCCATTGCTCAACTCGCAACACCACACGCACCCTTTCAAACCACAACACACGCCCACATCATCCCCTCGCCCTACTACACGCCCAACTACCGCTCCATCCCCTTTTTCGCTCTTGCTCACCATTGCTGCAGGCGGTCATCCTTGGGAGTCTGCTGCTCCGGGGGGTGGCAGTAGAGGATGTAGTCGTCCCCCTTGGCAGGGGGGCACGCCCAGATGTGCGCCGTGTGGAAGCCTCTTGTCTTCACCTCCTCCAGGTAGGCGATCAGGATCTCGTGATACACCATGGTTCGATAGCTTCGGTTGTTCGGGGGGGAGGGGAGAAACGAGGGATGTCAGATTAAAGACACGGGTATAGACGGTTTTGGTACCATCGTCTGGTCTCCGTTTGTTTTGACGCAGGCGGCAAAACAAGCACGCTCGACAGAGCGAGTTCTTGCGACACTCCCTCGATCGTGCGGCAAACATCGAGCGCATGACACAGCAGTACATCGGCACAGCCGTACGCGCCTCACTTCTCAATCTCTCTGACCACACAACACCACAACACCACAGCACTGTCAGCGTTGGCTATTCAGAGATGTGCATACAAAACCATGCACAGCAGCAAGCACTGCTTTCTCTCTCTCTCTCTCTCCCTGCACAGCAGCACTGCTCTCTCTGTCTCTGTCTCTCTCCCTCCCCATCTCTCTCTCCCACTTTTTCTTGTTCTCACTTCCTCGGGCGGAAGTAGTGAACCGAGTCCAGGTAGCTGATGTACACCCTTCGCTGGTTCGGCGCTGGGCACGTGTGGCCGTACTCGTACACGTACATCCCGAACAGGAGCACGTCCACGCCGTCCAGCTCCTGGAACAGCACGATGCACCTGCGAGATTGGTCGGCGGGGGGTGTGGTGAGGCAAAGCCAAACAACAGCAAAACAAATCAAGAGCAAGATGGAGCAATGTACATGGTGCCACAACAAGACGGACAACAACCCAAAGGCCGTAGATCGCACCGTAGATCGCACCGTAGATCGCATCGTAGATCGCACTAGAAACACAGGCCTTCCTTGCCTTCGAAAACAATCGATGCCACACTCCTACTACCAACACAACAGACGTTTACTGGGGAGGACGGGTACAACGCCACCCCCGTCGCTAGCGTTCGGTACTTACCCAGAGTGCGTAGAGCAACAACATATTTGCAGGGGGTGGAGGGCAGAAACTCATCCCAGTCGCTATGATAAGAGTGTTAATAAACCTGTGAGTGTTTTATGTTGCGTGACACGCCATTTTTGAGCTGCTGCCGTCAGACTCACTTGCTTCGGACCGGGAAGTCTGCCGGGTACTCCCCCGCAGGGCCGTAACGCCGGTGGAAACCCGGCTTGACGAGGTGGACCGTGTCCATCACCGACACCTCGCGGATGTACAGGGTATTCGCCTTCGTCACCTGCTTGGAAAAAAAAAAAACACCAACACCAACAGCAACAGCAACGAGAGCACGCATGGCATGAGACCATGGTCATGGAGGCAACAGAATAGTCTCCACACCCTTTCGGTTATCGGTGCCGTGCGCAAACACCAGACGGGGTCACGCAGGAGACAAAATAAGGCCACAAACAAATGTACTTACAACAAGGACACACCACCACACACAGATCAATAATAAACCGCATTCCACATTCCGCTCCACGTTCCGTCCCATGTTCCATACCTGGTCCACGGGGACCCCTCTCTCCTTCGCCTCTGCCTCGTAGGCCGCATCGAGCCGCTTCTTCACCTGCGCCTCCACGTACGCGCTCAGGGGCCCGTGCGGGAGGTCCTTGCCGCCCAACTTGTGAGCCGTCGGAGCGATGTTGCCGGCCCTGCCGAGCCACGACCGCAACCGCATACCGCGACGTACGCCGAGGAGTTGGCACGGGAGAGGAGGTGGGGGGTAAGAGTCAAGAGAGAAGGGGGGCAGAGGTGGGGCGGCCGGCCCCGTTCGGTATCATATTCCGCCATTCGATGGAGTGGGCTGGTGCAGCGGGAAGGAGGGTCAGCACCTACCGGTAGTCTATTGTATGATCATACCAGCACGAAGACGGTACAACAAAAGATTCGACAATAGCAGCAGTCCTTCCTCGATGATTCCACACAAACCGCACGCTCGCCCAAGTCTTCTCTCTCTCTCTCTCTCTCTCTCTCTCTCTCTCTCTCTCTCTCTCTCTCTCTCTCTCTCTCTCTCTCTCTCTCTCTCTCTCTCTCTCTCGC